ACACACACACACACACACACACACACACACACACACACACACACACACACACACACACACACACCCCACACACACACACGCAACGGGAGCTTTGGGTAGGATCCATCCCAGGCAATCAAATCCACTCTGTTAAGCCTTAAGGATGGGTAAAGACACTGCGTCACAACACTATGTTCCCATTTTAGAGACAGATAAAGTGAGTCCCAGAATTTACCAAATTGCTCAAGATTGCTCAGCTCTGTGCTTGCCTTCTCCACCACCTGGTGGTTTGCAAACATTATACAACCGCCCAGGAGGGCCTCCCACGCTTCGCAAACCAACTGCCAAATGTCAATTCCCATTCATAACATCTCTTTTTTACTAAAATCTCTCCGAAATACACAGCTTCAGAAATGTCTGTGAGAAAGAACAGTGAAACAAGCGGTTGTTCGAGGTGGATGAGAGGAGAACGTAAAATTAAAGAAAGAGCACCCAACCTCACATGAAGGCGGGAGAAGCCAGACCAAGGCTAGCTCAGTGTGTGACCAACAACACTGAGCAATCACTAAGGCTGCTGCACTGTCTTAAGGCTTTAGCACTAACTGACTAAATGGTTGTGGCTTGTTTGTCTGGGGTCTCTAAATCCCTTCATGTTTTCCTCCTTCCAGAATGCTATATTTAATAGTGTCAGGAAACTGAGCACATGCCTGTGATTCTACCCCTTAGGAGGTAGAGGCAGAAGATTAGAAGTTCACGGATATCCTCAGGTACATAGGAAGTTCAAGGCCAGCCTGGACTACATGCACTCTGCAAAGCTTCTGCTAGAACTTCAGGCACCAGTCCTACTGTGTGCCAGGCACCATAGAAGATGCTAAATCTCTCCCCTTAGCAGGAATCACAAGCCACAGAGGAAAAACATACTGTGGGGTTTCAGTCCTGAGTGTGACCTCCCCCCAAAACCTCCTTTCCAGTTGCCCCTCACTGCTTTAGAAAGTAAGCTGGGTGAGGTGTTTAAGGAATTATCTAGGCAGCCAGGAGAACTTGCATGGACATTAAGTAATCGTAGCTTCTCAAAAGAGGGTGAAAGAAGGAGGACCCAGCCAGGCATTGGTGGTGCACGCCTTTAATCCCAGCACTTGGGAGGCAGAGGCAGGCGGATCTCTGTGAGTTCGAGGCCAGCCTGTTCTCCAGAGCGAGTGCCAGGATAGGCTCCAAAGCTACACAGAGAAACCCTGTCTCGGGAGAAAAAAAAAAAAGGAGGACCCCCCAAGTTCAATACCAAAACAGACAACACACACACACACACACACACACACACACACACACACACGGTGAAATAGAGAGACAGACAGACATGAGAGCAAATGCCTGTTATTCTGTCACTTGGAAGGCAGAAAGATTGAAAGTTTGAGATCAACCAGGTCTACAGGTTGAGAATCTCTCAAAAAACCAAACTAACCAACCAATCAACCAGGCAGGCAGACAGACAAAACCACAAAAGAATTCACCATCCTGCTGGTCATGATAAAAGCCTGTCACCCTGCCCTTTAGTAGGTAAAGGCAAAAGGATCCAAGTTCAAGGCCAGACCTGATTGGTACATAGGGATTTTTGAGGCCAGTCCAAGATACATGAGAACCAACCTCAATAAACAGTCAGACAAGGATTATCTAGTCCTGTCCTAGGAATCAAGAGCTATGGAGTAATTTGAATGGGACGGGGGGGGGGGGCAGTGTGTTGTGTTTCCGAAAAGCATCTAAGACTCATTTTCTGATCACAGAACTCACCCCACCAACTGATATGAAACTGAATCAGGCCTCCAAACCATCAGCCAGTGATGTCCCCAAACAACCAGGAAAGACATGCCTGCCCTAGGTATCCCTCCTGGAAGTCAGTACTCTCTTCCCCACTCTCCTAGTCCACTAGGGGCTGCCTATACTAGGATTCTGTCTCTGTTTGTTTTTTTTTTTTTTTTTTCAGATGCTTGATAAAAGTTGTCCCACTGGAGACATTTTCTTTAAATTTCCCTCATAGAAAGCCTCATTTCTTGCTAATCATGTTCACTTAAAGACTTCTAAGTGAAAAGACAGAAATAAACATATCCCAGTACATTCAAATTGCAATCCTCCATGACCAAGTAGGACTGGTCCCAAGAATTATATTTTTACAAAGATATTAAAAAGGGAAGCTAGGGCTCTTAGTTAAGATGGTGACTGAATTCATACCTCTAATTTCACTCCCTCCCAAAGCCCTATTAAAACTTTAATAAGAAGACTTTAAAGTCAATTGGTAACTCTGCAAGGATGGAGAGAGCAAGAAAGGAGACCAAAGCAACAGGCCTCTTGAGGCAGGATGGCAGGCAGTCATGCAGTTCCTGATGGAGCCGCCCTGAGCAAAAACTGTCTCTAACTGCCAAAAAGGAAATGGAGAGTCAAGTTAATTTACATCACGTTGTTCTAGAAAGGCACAGAGACTGGCAATCCAAAAGCCTGGGGAACTGTGGGAGCCTAGGCTAAAGAAAAGATCAATCGAACCACAATCAGATCCCTAGGTCTCTTCCCTAACTCTGAACCACCAGGAAGCAGTCCGTCCTTCCCATAACCAGTAGGGCCTGTGGGGTTTTCCTCCGAGAAGATGCGCTGGATGGGCGGAGCCTCCGGCATCCTCTGAACCGAGACAACATACTGAAAACAAAGGGTTTAGTGCCCGGGTGTCATTGGACTGCTGAATGCATAGATCCTGCACATTCTCATACAACCAGATCCCTTTTGCTCTTCAGGCTGGAGACTGGAAAACTCTACTCTGAGGCATTCCACAAGCCAACAAGGACTCCAAGAAGCTGACATAGGAGTTCTTCAAAGACAGCCCAGATAGGTCACCGTACAGTACCAAACTCAACCTGGGAGCTCAGAGGGTTTTTGTTTTGTTTTGTCTTTTGTCTTTTAGAGACAGGGTCTCTCTTTGTAGTCCTGGCTGTCTTTGGAACTCTCTCTGTAGACCAGGCTGACCTGGAACTCACAGAGATCCACTTGCCTCTGCCCAAGTGCTGAGATTAAAGGCGTGCGCCACCACACACAGCAGAGCTCAGAGTCTGTAACCAGCACTTCATCCCCACATTCCAATTTTAACCATGATCAAAGGACTTCAGACAGCAAAGCAAGTAGGCTAATGCAGATCTTCACCTCTCCTTCAACTCCCCCAACCCCTCCCCAGTCTTGTCCCCAGCTCTGTAGTAGACCTCCTGCTTCAGCCTCCTGCCACCGGACCCCCCTCTCCAAGGTGTACCCAGATCTTCCCCTCCAAAA